TGAAAAGGGGTGCGATTCATTGCACTATGAGTACTGTTGTTATAATTCAATATAGCGATTGTCATTAGATCAATAATACTCTTATTCGGGTTTTGGAGTTTTTAACTCGTTATACTTTCACGTAGTGTCGAATGGAATCTTTCGATTGGACTATTCGAGTTCGGGTTTCTTGGAGGTGTATAATGAAACTCAATTTTGTATAATGTACAAAGATCTGTCATTATAGCATTTTTGGACTCTGCTCCATTATCTGATGTGATTTTTTGAGGTATTCCATGATCACTAAAATATTTCAATAACTGTGATGATATTTCTACAGCTGTTTTCTCGTTATACTTTCACGTAGTGTCGAATGGAATCTTTCGATTGGACTATTCGAGTTCGGGTTTCTTGGAGGTGTATAATGAAACTCAATTTTGTATAATGTACAAAGATCTGTCATTATAGCATTTTTGAACTCTGCTCCATTATCTGATGTGATTTTTTGAGGTATTCCATGATCACTAAAATATTTCAATAACTGTGATGATATCTCTACAGCTGTTTTCGTATTAACAGGAGAGGCTTGACCAAATTTTGAAAAGCTACCTATCAATAATGGTCAGAAACTTCTGGTTATTGATTATATACGTGTCAATATAAATATATTCGAAGGGTTTCATACCAATGGCTTTTGGTTTAAATATGATTTTGTATGGTTGACGTTCATACTTCACATACCTTGACATAATTCTGTACGTCTTTGTCGATATTGGGCCAATAGAATGTTTTCTTTAAGGCTACAACATTTTCAGTGAATCCTCTATGAGAGGTTTTAGTCTCATGATATTGCTGAATTTTCTCTTGTTGAAGATCAACTTCTGTGATGTCTTCTAATAAAGAGTTCGAGATGTACAAAGTAAATGAATTCGAATTAAACGATTCTTGTAATGCTCTTATCACAATAGGTTCTAAAGATTTATTTAGGAAATGAAGGCAATAAATACCAGGTGGCATGGCACCTTTACTAAATTAGTAATTTGTGATGTTGGATTATTTGGTAAGAAGAATATTATTCTCTTTTTATTACCAAATAGTTTGATTATCTCTTTCCTAATTGTGTTATTATTGGAATATCGAAATACAATTTGATATCCAAATATATTTACATGTTTCTTAGTATATGGAGCTCCTAATATTGGATTTTCCGGAGACGTACCTATGTATTGTTTGGTCATTTTCAGACAAGGCTGAAATTGTTTGTTCGTCATCTGAAAATGTTATTTGTCTTTTACTTATTTGAGTTTTTGAAGATTCTCCTATTTTGATAGGAATTTCTTTCTTTTCTTTTCTTGGAGGTATTATTAGTTGGGATAATATTTTTATTTTAGGTCTTTCTTTCTTAGGTTCCTCTTCAGGTTCTTTTTCTGATGCTGTTTTTGTTGATTGGGATGATTCAGACATTGTTATCTCTTTTTCTTTAGCTTTCTCGCTTTGTTAAGGAAGATATACTTTAGAGTCTGTAAAGTATTTTGCTATGATTTCATCATTACATAATGGTGTATCTTTCAGCATTACTCCTAATTTTTTGTGAAAGTCTTCATCTGAAGATGTTAGTCTGGCATCTGGATCTGATTTGTGAATGGCATGAAGTTGTATTGCAGGAATTATTGATAGTGCGTCAGCATTCATGTTTACTGTTCCTTTTTTGTATTTGATTTCATAATCAAATTCGGATAATTTTAGTCGCCATCTGACTAATTTAGAACTTGGTTCTTTAACATTAAATAGCCTATTGTAGAGGTTTGTGATCTGACAAGATTGTAAATTTTCTACCAAAAAGATAAGGTCGAAAATATTTTGTTGCCCATACGATTGCTAAAAGTTCTTTTTCAATCGTCGAATAATTACATTCATCTGGGTTTAAGGTTCTAGACGCATATGGAATGGGAAGATCAGCTCTGACAGGACCTTGAGATAAAACAGCTCCAATTGCATAGTTTGAGGCATCGGTTGTCAATAAGAATAGTATATTACATACCGAGTAGGGAAGTGTTTCATTACTGTCAAGAGATTTATATAGTTAATCGAGACGCGAAGCGTCGAGATTGACTATTAATCTTGAGACAGAAATGAAAACTTTCCTCCGAGGTTTGTATACTATTTTATTTGCAAGCACACAGTGGCGTAGCCAGTAGGGGGGCAGGGGGGGCGACGGCCCCCCCGCCCCTACACGTATGGCGCCCCTACCGCTCTTAAAAAATAAAAACAAGAAATTATAAAATTATGCTGTTTCTTATTTATTTTATTGACCTCTTCATCCTTTATTCTTTATCGTAAGTTGGCATTATCGACAAATGGTTCAGTTCTAGGGTTGCCACCTGTCCGGTTTTCACCCGGACTGTCCGGGTTTTCAAAGGTTTGTCCGGACGCATGATGAAAATGTCCGGCAATATCTGGATAACTATATAATTAATAATAATTAATACTTAATATAAAATTTATAAAGGCGATTGCCGAACGCCTTAGGATATACCTAACTAATTTCTGAACGTTCCTGAACACCAATACACATTACTTCTTTTAATATATAAATGTTTTTCGGAATGACACTCCAAAAAAAAATTGTTTTTGAAGGCTTAAAATAAACTTTTTTGGGCGTGGCACCCGGGAAAATTTTTCGCCTCCGGCGGGCTTTTCGTCTTCTATATTTTTCCCCAATAGGCAAATAGAACAAAAGCATACAAACATTAATTTGTTACCTCCCCTCCCCTCCTCCAAAAGAATTATGCGCCCCTTCATATGTTTGCCCCTCCCGCCCCGCAAGGCTGGCTACGCCACTGCAAGCACACCATTAATTATGATTATTCATTTAATCTTTTTAATATTAAAAAAACATGCCAAAATCTGTCATTCACTGTTTTGACGTTTTTACCTCACAGGTTCTCATTGTTCCCAGCAAAGGTAAATAAATTAGAGTGAAGGAAATCGGTGAGGGAAATCGAATAGGGAAATCGGTGAGGGAAATCGAAGAGGGAAGTGACACAGGTAAAGTGACACTTCCAAATTTTTAAAAAGTCAGTAATGTCAAGATTACATATATGATTGCAAATAAAGGTTTTTTAAAGTCAGGATGTTGTAATATAGGGTCATTTATTAATACATTTTTACAAGTTTCTGTATTATTTTTTTGTCTTTCTTCAAACAAGATGTCATTGGTTTGGTCAATTTGGCAAAATTGTTGATGAATTTTCGGTAATAATGCTAATAGGTATATGACATTATACATGAAATATGTCTAGAATTTTCCACACCACCCAACGGTGGTGTGGAAATCATGTAGGTACTCTACTTCAGGAGGCGAGTTTTTTTTATTGTGGTGTCCCCAGAAGGCCTACTACATCTTAATATATGTAATTTTTTTCCTCTCATCTCCTCGGTTGGGAGGGTGCTAAATCTGTGAATAGGTGACGAGATAATGGAATAAAACTGGAATTCGCTATAAAATTTCTCAGTTTTGGGATGCCACTGTGGCGTAACGGTTGCAAAATACATATTAAAATGCATTAGGAACCTATTTATAGAGCAAATGGTGGTCTTCAATTTCGTATAAATTTCTTTCCCATACAATAAATAGGTAACGAAATAATCGCAAAAGAGTGGTTGCGACAACTTCCATAAGGGGCAGGGGTAGTTTCCCGAGGGATGTAGCAGTAAAAAAATATATTTTTGGAAAGCAAATTTAATTTTTTTTGGGGTGGTTCCAGGAAGGGAGGATGCATTATACGAATTTTTCAATATCATTCCTACATCAATAATCCCTGAAAATTTGAACAGCCTAGCTTTAGCCCTTCAGATGATATGAAAGGGGGTTGTTTAAATTTGAACACCCTGTATATCTTAAACGGGTAACTGTTTTTAAATAAAACATATACCAAAAAATCGGCCAATTATTTATGAGTAGTCGCTGTATGGTCTGTGGTGGATTCGCTTTACTGATCAGTAAAAAAATAATAATTTCCGAAACATCTTTTCTCAAGGTCATTCAACTTTAGAGCGCCACCCTGAATAAAGGGTGGGTGATAGAAATATGCTGTCGCTGGATAAATTGTAGAGAATTTAGTCCTCTTTAATTTACTAATGAGGTATTTTTTTGTAAAACGAAGCAAAAGCGCTACGTTTCGGAAAAACCACAAAAAACGACCTTTAGGGGGATGAAGGGGGATGTTCCAGGGTGAAATTTTGTTGGAAAAAGTTAGACCCATAATAAACAGCCCTTGTCCTACCAGAAAAAAAATAAAACAGAACTTGTGTTGAGTTTGCGAGGTTCAATCTCTCTTTCCTAAAACCAGTCAAATCGAATTTCATTGTTTGAAAACAGTCAGAAAACTAGTTTCAACGAAAGAAATTCACTCTGACTGGCTTGTGATTTCTGCAGAAACAGACCTAATATTACCTACTCAAAATCTATTTTTAGGGTACCTATTTTTGTTTTAATATAGCAATCACAAAAAGCATTTCTGGACAATGTGGCGAATCTAATCGTAATATTTTCCATAGTTATGGAAAATTCACTGTATATATAGGTGTTCAATTCACTGCATTTGCGGCTCTAAAAATTCCACCCCTTCGCTTTAAAACTGCCCCACTTACTTCAAAGATATATTTTGTGTACCTTAGAAGAAGGAAATAATCTAAAAACGGTTCTAGTTTCTAACCATAAAAAGTAGGTACTCATATTTGGGCCTCTTATAAGATAAATAACTTTTCGTACAACAATAGCTATATATGCGCAAAACATCTTTTAATTGATGTTGCCAGCGGTGACGTAAAGTTGACTTTCCATAAAACGCCAATCAACCTTTTTTCCAGCATTGAAAATAGCTATTTTTATTGTATTTTTCACTGTCAACCATGGAAATTTCATAGGTTTCATATCCGATACCTGTTAGCTGGCAACAATTGCATACAGAGAAAAAGTGTATGACAAAAGTTTTCAGAATTAATTATGATCCAATATATGTATTTATCTACAACATTCTTTATTAACCTCATTAAAAAATACTCTTCACAAACAAAACAATATCCAATTCTTAAAAAGTAGTTTAACTAAACTTTGCAAGGAATCTATTCCAAGCTTAAGAAATAACAAAATATGTATTCACCTTATTCTTTAACTTAATGTTTTCATATTTTCAATTAAACTAGATAATCTCAATGAAAACACAATGTTGCTTGTTGTTTGCTGGAATAAGATAAAAACAAACTTTAACTTAAAATATTTTTCAAATTGACAGTTTTCGAAAGCCACAAACACAAAGCAGTTCTGAAAAACGTTATTTGACCATACATTTTTAGATTAAAAATACCTATAGTATTTATCACATAGAATAAATTATCCTTCAGACAACTCTTCAAGGTATCTATATATGTACCAATAAACATCATCCTTGAAACTTGAAGTTTAAGCCGTAAAATAGCTGTTTATACAATAAGTTACGAAATGAGCGTCTTTTAGGCACGCGACGTGAAAATTGTCCAACGAGGCAAAGCCGAGTTGGACAACACGTCGAGTGACTAAAAGACATCGTTTCGTAACGTATTATATACAAGATTTTTTCATACTGGCATTTTATAATGAAAAAACACAATTTTATTTCATGTGAATAAGTCGATTACGCCCAAAATCTTTGTTACCTGTTTTTACTTGACACTTGACACTTTTCATGCGATTTTTTTTTCAAGATTCGACTTCAATAATTAAAATCCTAAAAAGTAGGTAACAACACAAAGTTCTGTTTTGAGTAACCCAAACGTTCAATTCAGTAATTACATTTTTAATATTCATAATAAATACAAAACAAAATTCAAATCTGTGTTTAGTGTGTTTTTTATTTCTGAATAATGAATGACACTTTTACGCACTAGTGCTTAAAAATTACTTTTACGCACTCGAAAGTCACTTTTACGCATTCAAAAGTCACTTTTACGCACTGAGTGCTTAAAAGTAACTTTTACGTGCTCAGTGCTTAAAAGAATGTCGTTTTAAAACTAAAATGACAATCGAAAAGTTGCTATTATGAAACGTCAGTAGAAAAAATTAAAATCGAAATCCTGGTATTTTTGCAAACCCATGCAACTTCATGTTGTACGTACTTGCTGTCACTATGGAAAACAATTTAGTAGCTGTCAATTTGGATATCAATTAAGTTAAAATACATTTACCAAGAGGATTTAACGAGTTCCAGCGAGAAGAACGAGATACACCAAAAGTAACGGTTTGGTGTGCAAGCTCTGTTGAGGAAAAATACGGACCATTTGTCATTAATGAACCAATGATAACATACTGTATACACTGATATGTTGGAAAATTTCTTTCATCCAATATCTATTACCAGCAGGATGGTGCCCTATCTCATTATTCTTTGATAGCAATAATAAGGGAATTACTAGAATACACTAGAATGCACATCTTGCTCTTCTGACTTGACATTTCCAGACTATTTTCCACAGCTATTTTCTCTGGAGTTATGTCAAGGAGAGATGCTGCAATCCTTTGCGAAATAGCCTGGAACATCTTAAGTGGATTCACCATTTTTTATAGTTTTATGCAATTTTTATCAACTACTTATGATAATGTTGTTACGAAACAAACTGTAGCTGAAACAATAAGAAACAATTTTGTTGAAAAACTAAATTTAACAACATCAGCTTTTAATGGCTACTATGATGATTCTGTGATTCCGTTTATACTTGGTGAAAATTTACAACTGAGAGGATATTCACTAAAGTAAAAGACAGAACAAACATCTATGCTGCCAAGAAAATATTTCAAAACTAATCAGTGGAACACGTTGTCATGAGAAGCGATTAGTGTCAGAATTTTGAAGCTTTCCAAAAATAGTATTGAACGGGAATTACCGTGAATCTTATCTAGGGATTCATAATGTGAAGGTTCAACATTAACAATTGACTTTCAATAGTTTCATCCATGTAAACCGCTTACTATTGTTAAAATAATATTATTTGTTGTGCTGCCAAATAGAATTAACGTTTATGTTAATTATCCTCTAAAATTCATGTGTGCTTTCGAAAACTCTCTAATGTTTTGGGATGGGCGGTTATATTATAAGACAAATTCAGCTATGGTCCAAATACATGGTGAAGATTCTGAGTCTCGCTCACCTGTGAAGCTTTTTAATTTTTCATTTGGACCACGGCCCTAATTTCCAAAACAATCAATAAACTGACTAAGTACTCACAAAACATAAATCTAACTAGCACCATCTGAAAAATCAGTCGTTATGACATCTTCATCCTTTGCCATAGTAAACAAACTGGGAACCTGCCATAGATGTTGAATTTTACTATCCAGTTCTTTTTGAAATTTCTGTTTCTTTTCAAGGTCCTTTTGAAGCTTTCTTTCTCTTTCAGTTAATAGGCCAAGCTGACGAAAGAGGGCTTTTTGTATCTGGATAGATTCCTGCTGACGGTTTTTGAGCGAGTTAAATTCGTTTTCTCTTTCTAAATTAAAATAATTAGCAAACAAATTAAAACAACAACTGAAAATGGAAAAAACTTACTTTGCACCAATGAGGCAACGTTACACATAGCTTCATATACTGCAGCAGTGTTAGAGCCCTGGCTAGAGCTATTGTTTGAATTGGCAATAAAAGTTGAACCTTCTAGGCTTGATTCATCCCAAGAATTACTGACCTACAACAAAAAAGAAAAGGAATTAAGGTAAAGATATCTGGACATGATTCAAAAGGTGTAGAACCGCAACAGATTATTGAACTATTTTTAGTTTTAAGATTCTACTATACACAGCTATCAGAATCTACAGTTATTTGCAATTGGAAGCTGCCATTATTGACTATGGGTATACAATATATCAGTCTTTCTAGGAAAGTTCAGTTGTTTAGATTCTTGAAAATTTTAAATCAGTCTCAGGAAGTAAATGTTAGGAAAGAAAAATAATTTCTGAAGCTAATATGAATTTTCAAGGAAACAAGCTAAATAAAAGCAGCTTTTTATTTACCGTGCTACATTCTGCATTCAATGTAGTGCTGGATTCAATATCTGAGGATTCCCTGTTCCTTTGTCCTGCTACTGAAGCTAAATGCTTCTTTGCTTGTAGATGTTCCTTTTTGTTGTGCATACTATTGAACCATTGATCACAAGTACGGCAGTAGAGTTCTTCATTATCTTCTTCCTAGAAAATATAACATTACACACAGATATATTAGATTATTTATCAATACATACATCAAAATCATCAGTCGCATCCATATCACTCTCTGAAAGAACATTATTCTGAAGCCGTTTCATCCTTTTCTTGTTCAAATAAAGCATGTAAGCCTCAGATTGCCTGTATTGTTTCAATTCCTCTCGATATCTTTTTTTATCTTCCTCCGCTTTATCCAAATAAGGCTTTTTTTCTTCCAAAGTCAAACTAGACCATTTATTACCTACTATTTTGGTTATTTCATAAAATTGTAAGCTACTGCTTTTATAAAAGCTCCTCTGTTCATTTAAATACAAATTATATCCAGTAGCTGGAGCTTTAGGTGGCAAATTTAAAAGTTCAGGCTTCCGTTTGCGACCCTTAGGCCAGCCACCTCTACCTTTCTTTTTAAGAAGTACTTGATGGGGTGATAGATAACCATCACAACTTAACAAATTCGAACTTGACATGCTGCCTCTTGTTGAATCTGATTCTTCACTGGATTTTTCTGTGTCTGGAAAAAAACAAAGATTACCTATAGAATAATTTGAAATACAAAGCTGTGACTGTTAGTCAATCTAAAGATCTGAGCTTGAGGCTGGGATTGTGTATGTAATGGAGAAAATTAAATATTTTCAATAAATAAGTACCTAATGGTGGAATAGGATTGAACAGAAAGAAAAACGACAAGTGCACATGTTAAATTAAAATAATGCTTACCCTTTGGTAATTGTAGGACATTAGATGTAGAAGCAAATGTTGTACACGAAGGATAAACTGGTGTACCAGTAGTGGTATACATACTATCACTACATTCACTCGAAAAGCCCCCATCACTATCACAAGTCACTCTAAAATTGGGAGCCATTCTGCTGGCAGTAGCACTACTAGCAGTTTTCAAATTCTGTTCGAATAGCAACTGTGCAGCAACTTCACGCAGCGTTTCAGGTGAAAGATTTAAATTTGAGGATATTGCTTCATTCAAGGACATGCAGACAAACCCTTTATTGGTTTCCAGCAGAATACCATTTTCCAATAGTTGGTTGGCTTCATCATCAGTCGATAGGGTAGCAGTTTCTTCCATTATTGCTGTATTGATAAAATTTGAAGGATGCGACATCGTTAGGTTAGACGGACTTGTAGTTAATTCTATTTAGAGCCTATGACGACTTTAATTAATCATTTTATTTCTTCTGTAACTGATGCATGTTGATGTTGATTATGAGTATTCAAGATCCGAAACCAAAAAAGGTTGCACATCCCGGAATTTCCTCAAACTACGTTCGAAGACACTTAGGAATACATCATTTTGAGTACATTTTTTAAAAAATATAAATACTACTTTTTTTAGGCATTAGGTATTAAAAATCTAAAAATAACTACAAGACCAGACAAGACATTAAATTTGTTTACAAATTTCAATTTTCAATTGGCAGATTTGACATTTGAGTCATTTGACATAAGTTGTCCTTTCGCTTGAAACACTAACCCTTTTCACGTGGCTCCGGTTTACCAAACCGCAACATACCGCTCAAATTCGAGTGGTAGGTATCCATCACGTTACTTTGTAACCGGGGCTGGGATCATGACACGTAGAATTCTACTACAATCCTACTTTCATGACGTCAGGTTGCCTAGCAACCGTCATCATCGCCTATACTACGCGACAAAATAGGTCGCAGGTGATGTCATGAAAGTAGAATTCTACTTGTCGTGATCCCAGCCCGGGTTAGAAAACGGTATGTGATTTCTCTAACCTTTTTGTAACCCGGTTAGTTAAACCGGAGCCACGTGAAAAGAACTATTGGGTTCGGCTAGTCAGTCAAAACAACAGTCAACAACAAGTTTTGAAAACGACTTTTTTCGCACGGCGAGACAGTTTGTTGGACCGAGCCATAGGCGAGTTCCACAAGTCGAGCAAGTGTGAAAAAAGGTTTTCAAACGAGTTTTTTACAATGCTTTTCCTACAACTGCAAAATAAAACAACCAAATATGTAATTTCCATTTGTTAGAAAACTTGAAGCGTGTGAAAAACTTTTTCGCACGCTGTGCGAAAAACTCTAATTTCAAAGGTTGCCTAGCGTGCGAAAAACTCCATTTTCAGAGGCAGTCGTAGGAAAAATAAATTTCAATTCCTCCACAATAATGAATAAATGATACTTTTGCCTCTGCTTAACTTTGTCAAGGAAATTTTTCCATCATGTTTAATAAATTTTAAAATCAGATCAATTATTTAATTCGATGATTTTACTAATTCCCGCATCCACACATAAGCAATTTTTAATTTTTTCAACAACCACAACGTGACAACAAGATGCTAGCTTGACAGTTTTCACATTTCACTTATTCTTCATGCTTACTCTAAAAAATTCTCTTTCCGAGGTGGAACTTTTAGAGTGAACTCCATTTACTCCACTACTATACTACGGATAGTCGAACGCTAATGGAGTCACCCCTAATACGCCAAAAAGCAATACCCGAACTGCTGGAGTGCGAATGGAGTCACTCGGAGTGCAAGGAGTGAGCAAGCCGAACCCACCTATAGAGCTACTCGCGCCGGTGTTAGTCGACCCCGATTTGAAAGATACAGATGCGCTGGCTTTCATGCATTTAAATGGTTTGAGTCGGGCTTGAGCACTCAGGTGCAACAAACACTTTTGGAAAGGATAAGCGCGTAACGCCTCCTAGGTGTGAAAGGAATATAATTTAACCTCAAAATTTTTAATCGCATGTGTTGGGGGCAAGATTGTTAGGCCTTTTTGGGTTTGGAAACAGGACGGTTCTAGACAATCCGACAATTTATCAATCAACAAAATGACAACAACTCGGCTATCCAAATTTCAATAATAAACTGTGCGATCTAGGGTGCCTCTACGTAATCTAAATCTCCATAAGGCAGCCCAGGGCCCAGATACATCATCCAGTTACCAATCACCAGGCAACCTATTAACTTCAGGACCTTGGGTTGGGGGCAAGGATGATACACACCTACAGGATTGCTAATCGGCCACATTTTCCGTAATCGCCGCCATATTGTTGTGTCACCATTTTCGACGTCATAACTCAAGTCGTCAGCAATGTCGTCAGCTGTTTGAACAGCCTCATTGAACCCAAGGATGATACACACTACTACTACAGGATGGCTAATCCTCATAAGGCCTGTGTGTAACAAATCCCCCCCTACCTCCCCTAGCCAAACAACCAGTTGTGACGTAGACGTAAACGGCATGGCGTTTCTCACCTTGACGTAGACTCTTTAAACAGCTGACGACTTAGTTATGACGTCGGCAATGGTTAAAAACAATTGAAAACCAATATAGCGGCGATTACCAAAAACGAGGCCGATGAGCACTCATTAGAGTGTGTATTCTCCTTGCATTGAACCTACGTCAAGGCGACAGAAATAACATGCTGCTACGTCACAACTGGTGATTGGGTTTCTATTACTATTAATATTATTAAATCCTTTATTTAGCAAAAAAGCTAGTTATAAAAAAAAATACTATACAATAATAAGTCACTAGTTGGTATGCAGTCAAATCTATAAAACATTATACATTAAAAAAGATAGCTTAAAATACACAAAAAAAAATATATAAAACTAGCTGACCCGGCGAACTTCGTACCGCCTCTGAATTATTAAATACCTAATAAATGTTGTGTGAACGTATCTATTAGCTGAATTAAATTCAGTTTTTTTCGATGGTGAATTTGGCTTTGGTTGAAAAAAATTAATGTTTACTCTCTGGATCAGAAGTCACCTAAACTTAAAATTTTACATCATCCCTTTTTAGGCAGCTTGTGGGCATTATTCTTGTAAAGTGTACCATCAAATAAATAAACTCAGGGCTGGGATCATGACAAGTAGAATTCTACTTTCATGACGTCACCGCTACCTATCTATAGCGTACAGTACAGGCAATGATGACGGTTGCTAGGCAACCTGACGTCATGAAAGTAGAATTCTAGTGGAAATCTACTTGTCGTGATCCCAGCCCAGGCACAGGAATGTTCAAAGAATGTAAAGAAAACAAAAAAATCTCCAGCGCAGCCCTGTTTCACTCTATCTGCACTGCACTACTCCATAGGTTCTACTCTATCTGCACTATTCTATCTGATCTACTCTTTCTGCACCACTCTATTTGATCGGAATAGTGGAATAGTTCTGTTCGGAATAGCTCTGTTCGGAATAGCTCCAGTTCCTGAGTAGCATTGTTCTACTGTATCTGCAATGAAATTACCGCGCAACGGCGAGCTTCGTTCTAGGTATCAGAGACAGCGCCGTATACAAAATGGTCAAAATGGTTTGCAATGAAAATGTGGCGGTAAATTTGGTATCGGTTATAAGAGATGGCGCCGTATGCGGGCTTAGTGAATTTTTTTCATAAATAAGTAAAATAGGTAATTTTGTTTTTTGTCCTTTTTTTGGATTTTTTCGATTTAATATGTTAGTATGGACAAAGACAAATCCAATAAAGCAAAAATCATAAAAATCAGTCGAGCTGTTCTCGAGTTATAAGTGCTAGAACCAACACAACTGTGTTTTATATATCTAGATAATAATGATAACAAAATGATCCTCCATTTATTGAATAATTCATTTATTACAAGAAATGTGATAAATGAAGAACCGCTCGACCGATTTTGTGCAAACTTCACATAAACAATCTAATAAATAGTCCGAACAAAGCCTAAACATTTGGTTTGGCTAGGTGAGCCCGTTCTTGAGTTATAAAATTACAGCGAAAAGTGGCATTAATTTTTATATACCTACAGTGTGTCCGTAAAGTAACGGATAAATTCATTATTTTGAAAACGGTAGAATTTTTGAAAAATCGCTCAGACACGTCAATTTTGTTTATTTGTTTCAAATTTTTTGATATATTTTTCATTATACAGGGTGTCTCAAAAATAGCTCCACTGCTATCAACTTTGTTTTTTCAAATGGATCAACCTGTATATTATGACATTTATGAATTCTGCGATGACGAATAATACAGGTGTTTGCCTTTTTTTAAAAACTTTTTTCAAATTTTTTTTTAAATTATTTTTCTTTAAAAATTGAAACAAATTTAATTTTCAGTAAAATTTCGATTAATAGTAGCCAAAAAAAAAAGAAAAAGCGTTTCAAGTGAATTAAAAACGGCCTAAGTACTGTTTTTATTAACAATAAGGCCTAAGTAACACTTTTTAGGTCCCAAGTGCTACTTGTCACCTATCACAATTAGGGCTTATGTACAGGGTGGGCCAATTTGGACACTTTCTTATGGAATCACCCTTTATTTTTAGAGATAGAAAAAAATGAACCCCCCACTCTGAGGCTCAAATTTCATGAAATTTTGATTGGGGCAAACCGCATTTTGATATCTTCAACCGTTTAGCCGCTAGAGGGCGATTCTCGATTTTGAGCAATATTTTAAATCCTTCATAACTTTTTTGTTTATGAAAATAATTGATTTCCGTAAAAACTTTCTGGAAGCACTTTTCCAAGCAGAATTCAGTGACGTTCTCAGTTTTTTTCTATTTGGCGCCGATTTTGAGATATTGACCAAAGTCTGATTTTTTTCAATAGGACACCCTTCATAATATTAGCTCATTCAAAAGCTATGATTTTTCTGATTTTACTGATATAAAGTTCGTTAGGTTTATCTCGAATAGTTTTTGAGAAAAAAATTATTTTGGTTTTTGTCATAAGAAACAATATGTTAGAAAGAGATCTTTTTCATTTTCCTTACAGATATAAAATCCTTTTCTAACACATTGCTTCTTATGAGAAAAACCGAAATAATTTTTTTTCTCGAAAACGGTTAGAGATAAACCTATCGAACTTTATATCAATAAAATCAGAGAAATCGTACCTTTTCAATGAGCTATTAATATAAAGGGTGTCCTATTGAAAAAAATCAGTCTTTAGTCAATATCTCAAAATCGGCGCCAAATAGAAAAAAACTGAGAACGGAGAACGTCACTGAATTCTGCTTAAAAAAGTGCTTCCAGAAAGTTTTTACGGAAATCAATTATTTTCATAAACAAAAAAGTTATTAAGGTTTTAAAAGATTGCTCAAAATCGAGAATCGCCCTCTAGCGGCTAAACGGTTGAAGATATTAAAATGCGGTTTACACCAATCAAAATTTCATGAAATTTGAGCCTCAGAGTGGGGGGTTCATTTTTCTCTATCTTTAAAAAGAAAGGGTGTTTCCATAAGAAAGTGTCCAAATTGGCCCACCCTGTACATTGATAAAAAAATGCAGGGGCCTAACAATCAAAAGTATGTTAAAAGTAGAAGATTTAAAAAAAAAAAAATTATTATATGAATAATTCTGCTTTTTAGTAGACCCTACCAAAATTTTATCAAATTCGAAAAAGTAACAATGAAGTAATAAGCATTTCAAGTTTTCATACAAATCCTCAATAGGCTCGTACAGCATATTTTTTTTTATTACATATTCTAAAAGAGCGTATTGAGTTTAGCAGTCGTGCGAAATTTCATAATTTTGCGAGCCCTTGTTCATATTTAAATAAATTATCAAAACGCTCCAAATTTGGAAGTTTTGAAACACGCGGTGACGTCACTGCATCTCTCACGTTGGTCGTGTGACGGCCTTTAGCCCGTCTTGACTCGAGAGATGACGTCATACCATCTCTAAGCGATGAATTTCTGAGGCATAATGTTTTATTATTCAAAGCCGCATAACTTTTTTAATATTTATCCAATTGCGCTGAATTTTTTTTTGTTGCTATATGTGAGTAATACTCCATAAAAATATCAAAAAACGTGGTTAATGAAACTTCACTGAACGAGCCTATTATCTCAAAACTTGATTTTGCTAGATAGGCCTTTTTTCGACCAAGCCACAGATTTAAATTAGAACATAACAGGTGGGAAATAACAGTAATCTGTTATGAAAAACTTTCCATCATACGAACTTGCATCGTTACTGTTAAAACTCGGACTAACATGTACGTTACGGATAACGTAAACGTTCAATAGTTGTATTCCTTTCAAGAGTTTGAAACACTCGAGCTACTCGCTTCGATGTTTAGTCGCTCCCGATTTGCAGGGAACAGATGCGTGGTGCAACAACCACTTTTCGAAAGGAATAAGCGCGTGAAGCCCCGGAGCTGTTCCGGAACTCCTCATAAGTTTGAAAGGAATACAACTAATCATAGGACCCATTGACACTAATGACAGTTGAAAATGGATTTTTTTGCAACTTTAACAGGCTGTAAAACCTGAACGGTTAATTTTAGAGGAAAAGCGATTTTACATTCCTATCTTAAGCCTAGTCTCCATAGACGCGAAATCGCGGAAAGCGAATTTTTTAAGTGTCATTTTTTGGTGGCTATTTCCGAGCAAATTATTCCCATGTCTCCATAAGCGCGAAATTCGCGTTTTATTTAACAGGTTAAGGTTACCTATGTGTTGTTGTTTGTAATCAATTTGAATTCGATTTAAATGCTTTGAATTTCAAACACTAATCTTTGAAACCCATGAAAGTGATTACTAAAAAACAAAAAAAGATATGTATCTTGGTGTTGTCTTAATTATATTTAAGGCCCTATTATAATCTTCCTCATCAACCAGCAAGCTGTAATTTATCTCTGTTTTCGGGTCTACAATATTCAATTCTTTGGCAGTATCCATTCTTTATTAGGTATCTACAAGTACAAAACACATCAACGACTCACAGAGGACAGAGCACAGAACAGAGCACATACCGACAAAAACATAAACAAAACTAAACTGAAAGTAACACCACATAACCTCTTTTTTTTTTGGCGAAATTTCGCAGAAAGTTAAAAAATAGTTAACTTTTTTGCGACGCCGCTAGAAGTTAAAAAATTCGCGAATTTTTCCCGCCATAAAAAAATCAAATGTTAAATGTCAAATTCCAACCAATCGGAAAATATCCGCAAAAAAAAATTCGCGATTTCGCGTCCATGGAGACTAGGCTTTAGATTTTCATAAACTATCATTTGACACCAACTTTGAAGTTAATCCGTGATAAAAATATTCCGGTTAAATTTAATCTCCGGGTAAATTCAAAGTTGGTGTCAAATGGGGTAATCGGCGGTGTAACACCGAATACACCATCATTTTGTACCGCGTAAATGGTGTCCCACCATCTTTACACCATTCGGACACCAAATTATTTCCAAACGCAAATAAAGTGTACACCAAATTTACTCCTACCAATTAACGAACGCCACAGTGTCAATAGTGAAAAAAGTGTCGACACTTTCTACCATTCCGAACTCAAGAATCGTAAACTCTACAGGATTGCTCAATCCCATAAGACAAACGTTCATAAAAACATCGAAGATGGCGGTATGCGAATGACGTCACGCAGTCCTTGATCGGTTTGTGTTTTTTATGACAGTGCACTATCCTTGCATTTTCAAACGTGAAAAATTGTTATTTTGAGGTTATTTCCTTTGAAAACTGTATTTTGTAATTAATTTATTGATTTTAAAATTAGCAGACTTCAAAAGCTTGTGTCCTTGAGGCTTGAGTGGTTGGCTAATTGCTAATTAGAAAGACGAGTTTGTTTGCTTTTGTTTATCAATTAGCCAAACATATTGCCAAAAAGTCAAAAAAACGAAGGGCTGGAGTCAAGCTGGCCCCCGGATTCGTTTCAATGTTTTTTTTTGTGTATGAAAATGAGCACAATTCGCATAAATACTGGCACAATTGAGCACAAAACGGGCACAATTGACTACAGTTGAGAAACAGTAGAAAACCAAATGTGGAGTGCCGAGCCGGTTTAATTTTTGCATTTCAATATCAAAATATAAGCGAAACGGGGTTGCAATAGTGTGCTTTATTTTTTACTGACCCTACCTAGGTACTTCTCAATTATTATTCATTAATTTAATAGGTACTAGAACGATTTAATATGGACATTCAAAGTAAGCTTATTTCATAAAGCCAAATAGTAATACCTAATTTAGATTCTCATAATCATATTCCAGAAAAACATTGCAAGTTTCCCATATTTTCCATGCGTTTTCATAGTAAACGCGCCAGTAAAGGAATTTATTTACATATTTATTTATTCACTCTTCACAAACCCTAATTTTTATTAGTAATTACATGCAAAGGAAACTTACAACTAAGTAGATATTTGATTCATAAAAAAAAACAAAACAAATGCTTGACTAGGAAATACTAACTAGCAATACACACAAATAAAAGAGCGATGTCCTGATACAACAAATCCAGTATTATAAAACCAGAAAATGCTTGGGGTTTTCGCGAGTATTTTCAGCCACGAGTCTTTTATGCTTACACACATTAAATGAAACTTTAAATTTACACTTATAACACTAGATAAATCCGAATTTACGATAAAATAGTTGTCAGCACAAACTAAACATCATTCGTATCAGCGGCCATCTTGAAAATCCGGCATGCGCGTGACGTCACAGCAATTGTGAACAAATTTAGCCGATTGAGCAATCCTGTAGAGTACGATTCTTGTTCCGAACTCATCTCTAGTAGTAGTGTGTATTATCCTTGACACGCTCATTCCTTTCGAACAATGTTTGTTGCACTTGAAGTGCCTGATCCCGAACGCAGACCATTCAATGCACGAAAGCCAGCGCTACAACCCTCCAGCGCATCTGTTCCTTTCAAATCAGGGTCGACTAACACCGGAGCGAGTAGCTCTAGTGTTTTAAGCTCTTGAGAGGAATACAAACATTTTTCAAGTCCTCAATGCTCAAGTCGAACACGTGAATCTGCCGAGAGCTCCGTTTTGAGCTGAACATGTTATTTGAATTGTTCCGGATCGTTTTTTGAACAATCGGCCAGTGCGCTCCTGCCGATGCCATGTTTCCCGAACCAGGAAGAGATGTATCATCATAACCTAAAATGTTTTTCAAAAAAAATGATGGATTTTGGTTTGTGTTTAGTTATTTTTTTTTAAATTTATTTTTAGTTATTTCGCGTGAATACTGACTTACTTATTACTTGTATGTTCAAAATGAATATCCCGGGAGCTTTTCTCAGAAGGTAATTTACGAATCATTTTTGCTTAATGTGTCCAACATTCAACTTGCACTAATCTATCCATATTTAAACTGAGATTTACACAAACTTCAAATAAATTTTTCTAGATCGTACAGGCTTAAATGTACAAAATGCCTTGGTCGATCGCTTTCAACAGCCACAGAAGAAAAAATTGAAATCCCCGCACGTATTGAAAGGGGCCCAACAGATATATTACGAGCCCTAGAAAGCACCATTACGAGAGATATAACAGCCGCCCATTACAAATATCATGACGATCCTTATTTACTTCCTATGAACAATTTGGCTAAAAGGTCTTTTGCTATGGCACAAGAAGCAGGCAAGGACATTACTAGCTATAAAATATGGGATTTTTTTCTAATGAATTACATTTTCAGGTCGTAAAGCTGCTCATTGGGTGAGAAGTCAACATCCAGAATTATTTAATCACCAAGAGTGTGATCCACCAATTGAAGCCTTTTTTCCTAAAATGGTTTATAATGAAAATAGTGAAGTTACAGAGGAAGATTTGAAGAATGTAATTGATAGGGCACAAGTTTCAGATGCCATTCTTATAAATAATCTACTCAAGGCCAAAGGTATGACAACTTTACTCCTTATTATTATTAGTATTAGTTTAACAATAGTAAATGGTGTCCATACATACACCAATCAGGGCTGTAGCGATATGAATATCCCTAGGGGGGGAGACTGAGATGCGACGCCCCCTACATGCCGCGAAGGCGAAGAAAAATATGTTTGGTGACCACATCCAAATTTCGCCAATTTTAAGCAAATGTGGGCATAATTTTTTTTAATAAAAATTAGATCAATTATGGCCGTTTGCACCGACCATTTTAAGGAAGCCTTAGCGATAAGTATTCCTTAAAGTGACATTTCTCCGCGTAAAAATGTCATTTTAAGGGATACTTAGCGCTAAGGCTTCGTTAAAATGATTGGTGCAAACGGCCATTAATGTTGTATTACTAAGGGCGGGTATTTATAAAGCTATTCTGACAGATAACTCGAAGTTAACTTATGGAATTACCATGAGAAGAAACGTCATTCTTGGAGTTAACTTTTAGTTACTCGCCCTTGAAAACTAAACTTATGTATTGAGTGAGACTATATCTATTACCAATTCAATTTTCGGATTTTCTTAGACAGTTTTGGGTAAAAATAATGAAGTGTACATTGTACATTTTCAAAATAAGTACACCAAATTTTTTAAATGTTTATTTTAATTAAATTTCTTTGTTTTTGCACATTGTCCATTTTGGCGCCCCTGTGCCAGCTACGCCCTGGGGGGGAGGCTCCCCCGTCTCCCCCCCTGTTGGCTACGCCCCTGACACCAATAAACTATAGGAAATCTGGTTTATAGTTGATGAAAGTTTCGCCAAGTTTTTTGTCAAGCTTGTTATCAAGCAAGTAACACAAATAGTCACTGCTACTTGAAGCATTAAAGTAACAGATCTGAAAAAAAATAACAACCCTTGAGAGCTAACTTGATCGGTCTCCTTTCAATGCCTTCAGAAATATGACTTGAACAACTCCAATGCATTTCCTCTGACACTATACCTATAATTCCAATTCTTTCAAAAATTATTTGGGATCAATAGGCCTTTTCGGGTTTGGAAAAAGGACCGTTCAAAACAATCGGACAGTTTATCAATCAACAAAACGACAACAGCTCGGCTATCACAAATTTCAGTAATAAACTGTGCGATCGATTTGAACCGTTCTAGAACCGTTCTTTTTCCAAACCCAAATAGGCCTAATGTAGTCATATGCTTTCGAGAGATTTAAGCAAGCTCTAGTGCCAGTTTGCCCCCAATGAAAATTTATAAATTAGCATTTTTTTTTGTAAGCTGAAAAATGTTGTCTGCCTACCGCCTACCACCAGACATGACCAATAATCTGTAGCGCTGCCTTTATAATAATAAAGATTGGAAATTTCCAATTTTTGTCTGGATATTTGAATTCTCCAATTATAAAAACAAGTATGTAGAAGTAAAGCATCAGATAATGATAGCTGCTCTGTGAACACAGGATATTGAAAATCTGTGGCTTTTAATTTGATATTTGACCACTGGTTATGAATGATGTATGTAGAATATAGGTATGTTTTTTAGTCAATTCCACATTGATGTTGTGTCCAATGATAATTTCTTCCATACCTAATACAAATGCCTCCTCGAATGCCTCTACTTCTTGCCAACTGGAAATGTGAATTGTGTTTTGATTTAACATGGGTTCTGGGACTAGGCAAAAGAAAAACCTCAATTTTCGCAAACAATTGTACTTACATGGTAAATTGTATCTTGGTATTGAAATAAAACTATCTAGAATTGCATTATTTAAGCCAGGATTCAGCAATACGAATGCAAGGGGATTGTGTTTATTAATCGAGATTTTTTAAATATATTTATTTTCAACAATAATAGTTTTTTACATTGATAATAACAATTACTTCTAATTAGTGCTTTGAGAGCTTTGAGATCATCTAATCATCAACCTTGTTACCATTAAATTTTAGTTTACTATACCAAAACACACTTCAATTACTACAAGAAGGAAGTATCTAGTTAGTTTATTGAATCTGTTTTCTCCTTAACCTTTTTAACAATTATTGTTAGACAGTTATAGCATCTAATTTAATTTCAATATTTTGCATTTTCAGGCCTAGAAATAACAAACGAAACCAAACAAAGTTTACTAGAATTGTTATGTTATAATAACAGTGAAGATATTTTAGATGAAGAGTTTATTGAAGAACGATGGTTCAAACAGAGTTCAGGTATAAAAGACAGACAACGAAAAACTTGGAAGTAAGTTTTCTAGTCACAATTTTATGTTGTTTCAAAAATAATTGTTTTATAGAGATGCAAGTGCAGCCGAAGAAATTTTCATAAGTATTGATAAACCCACATCAGATTCTTATTCGGCGATAATCCAAGGAATGGCTAAATTTAATCAAGCTGCTAGAGCCTATCAGTTACTTGAAGAAGCTCAAGAAAAAGGATTTGAACTAAATATTCATGCTTATAATTCTATTATTAAATGTGCTAATTTCATTAAGGAAAATTATGATTTGAGGTGAAGGGGCGATTTCAGTATTAAACTCTAATATAATAATTATTTTTGTTTAGGTGGTCATTTATAGTGAATATGTTGGAAAGAATCAAACAAGCAGGTTTAAAACCAAATTTAGGTACACTAAACGCAGTTTTGTTCACCTTAAGCACAATGGTCAACAGCAGAATGGTTAAAGATTTTGCTTTGAAAACACTTAACGAATTTAAAAGTTTGGACATTGAACCTAGCTTGGGATCTTGGTATTACATACTGATTACTTTCTGCAAAGATAGTAAGTAGCTATTTATTCCTATTTAATTAAATATTTATTTATCTTTTATTGTATAGGGGGCCCAAGAAGTGCAGTTTTAAAAAACATCCTGAATGAAATTGAAAATAAAAATCACAAGATTCAAGATTTGAGCGACACACATTTTTTTGTTACTGCAATGGACATTGCTCATCATCATTTGAATGACATCAGCGTAGGGCAGAGGCTGCATAAGCTTCTTTTGTTCGGTAACAATTATGATTTAATTGGGGACTCCTATAAGGAATCTATTTATTAGTGAGTAGATTCATAAGATTGAAATGGCTTATTTTCACATTCGCTTTTTTTTTAGCCGGCATTATTTCAGTCTGGTACTGTCAAATGTACCATTACAAGACTTCATGGAAAGCATGTACAATAAGTTGGTGCCGAATATTTATGTACCAGAACCATCAGTTATGCGTGAAGTTATAAAGCAGGTACCTTCTCAAAATTAATTAGACAAGTGATAGATTAATAACTTCTTGATTTTTTCAGATTGAGTTAAACGCCTTGATAGAATATATTCCAAGAATCTGGTCTGATATTATTGTATTTAATCAGCACAACCGAGAAGATCTCTTAAATCTAATATTGAGTGTTATGGTCGATAACAAGCCAAAACAAGATACAGAATTAGTGGAAAAGTTCGCTAATATTGGATGGGACATATATGAAACCATTGATGGACAAAATCAAGAGAGATACTCAAATTTACAGTAGGTTAATGTTAAAAATATCTCTAGGATAATACTGCAAGTGCTTAAATATTAGTCTTTGAGAGCGGTTCTTCCCAATTGAAATGAGAAGAAAAAAAAATCCCTTGAAAGTTTCCAAAGTACGACCAATTGAATGTTGAATAAAAAAAATGGTTCTCAATTTAGATAATAATTCTTTGTTTCAAGTCCCTTATGATGTTCTATTAAATATATTTTCATTCTAGGTTTACGGGCGATCTATTGGGAAAAATTATGATTGTTCTCCTAAGAAATGACAATTTTGAAAAGGCATGTACTGTGATGAATAAATTGGACCATCAACATCAGTCGATTGTAGGAGTTCCTTGTTTTGAAGCTTTATCACTTTTCGTGGATCATTGCATTAAAAATAAAGCCCCATCTCGAGCCATTGTGAGTATTTTTTTAAGAAATTTAATTTAAATAAATTCCTTTTTTTTTGTCCAGGAATGTATTCAATATGCTTCGGACAGTGGTTTTCCTGACATTATAACTTTGGGAGCCAAATTAAATGAACAATTGACTTTAGATGAAAAACATTTGAATAGATTATCGAAATTTGTTGATCTTAAACTTTCTTAACAATACTTAAACGTAAGAGGTTAATTTTAATAAATTAGTCAAGATTTTTTTTTCTGTTTTGAAATGCTCTTGTGGGTTATATGCACTTATATGTTATGGCGGTTTTACACTAAACCAACTAAACTGCTGGACAATTGCTTTTGGGCAAAAGAAAAATTTTGCCTAACTTTCAACCTGAAGTTCCTGTTGTCTATGTTTTCTGTCATTTAAACCAGAGAAACAGTGGTAGTTCAGTTTTGTTTTGTTGCTTTATTTTCTAGTTTAGTTCTTTGTTAGTCCAAAAGAAAGAAGTAGTTTGTTATGTAATAAAAATAAGTACCTATGTTTAGTAAGAAACAATAAAAATAAATCATTTTGTTCACGCTTCTTGACCACATAATACATCTGACTCTGGATGTTGACAAAAACTGGAATAAACGCACCACTGACTGGGTTGCATATTACATGCAGCAACTCTCTGAAGTTAAGGACTGTGACCACAAAACTAAAAACAACACCGCAATTTTCGGAAGACAAGAAGTTGCCTAAAAGTTGTGGTTCTGTTTTTTTCAACTAGGATGGCTGTTTTGTCGGTTTTTCATCAAGCACATGATATATATATTTTAAAAAGAAGTTCTTAGTATTAAGAAGTGAAAGATTATTATTGCCTATAAAAAAAAGTGTTGCTGCTGGTGTAGCAAAAACTGTTTATCATTCTTGAGAAGTATGTTCGGTCCAGGTCTGATGATTTATCCATGCAAATAGCATGCCTATGAGTGGAATCGAAACCAACCAAAGAGATCAAGATAATAGCAGGATGAGCGAGTTCAAAATTCTTATGATCAGGCCATCATAAGAACAAACGTGATTCTAACTTGTTAGATAGATATCTGCAGACCCATTAATCTCCTTCCGGGATTCTCAAAGTTGTTTGAAATTGTTATCTGCAAGCGGTTGATAGGTTTGATGACTGTGTAAGATTCTTTCAGGAAACCAACATAGGTCTCTGGAAGAAAGATCCATCCAAACAGCGATTTTCCAGATCTCACGGGCGATTTTGAGACATCTGAAATATACTTCTCAGGAAATTAAAAATCTATGGTAGTAGGGGGCGTGCCTCAAGTGGGTTTGGTCATAGTTTAAGCAATAGAACCGAAAGGGTGATTGTGTGTGATCTTACAAATCAGAAATTGTGCGGGATACAGTAGGGATGCCACAAGAGAGTATTCTCGGACCTATTTTGTTTATAGTTTTTATGAACGACATTAACAGAGAACGTTGTGAACTGCTTTTTTTCTGGAGGAAGAAAAGGACATTCAGGAGCCACGGTGGTCCCATGCATCCCATGCGGTTCCTCATCCTTAAATACCTTCACAGCAGAGCATCCTGAAGAGAGTTTCTTCCTCAAAGTTGAAATGTGCCCCTCAAAATGTAAATCACTGTCAATCAGAATTAGAAGAAACCTTATCAACTGTAACATGTCAATTTTTTATGTTGGCTACTATTTTTGCCCATCCATTCTTGTCTCTTCTGTTCCGGTCCACCAAAGAAAATCAGCTACACGTGCATAGACGATCATACGGATTAACTTGATCATATTTGAATTACTGCTAGTTCTGACTTCCAGATACCCACTTATATTACTAATTATTGATCAACATATTGTTTGTAGTAAGTATGAGCATGGGAAATTGAAAATTATATTGTCGAGGTGTCTTCCATTTGGTCAAAAACTGCTAAATGAATCTCAGGTGGAATTCCAATAATTGCCTTCCACATTTTTTGTTTTAACTCTTGCAAAATGATAGCTATGAACATCCCTCTGGTTTTGCCCTACTTGGTGTACTGTAATATTGTATTCTGGCCAACTTTGGACAAAAACAGTCTCCAATAGGTAGAAAAACTTTTGCCAAAATTAACCACAGGTTCTAGTGTTCATGATCTCCAAACTCGACATCGAGGGCTGTTCTGTGTTCCTCAGTTTCTCAACGTTCTTTTATTACAGCCCGGTTGACACGTGCCAAGTGCTTGGTCTAAGAATACTTGGACCAAGTAGGTTTGGAACCCAGCCAAAACTGGACTTGACAGTTGATACGATTCAAGTGAGGCGCGCGCAGCGTCCAAGAGTACTTGATCCCAGTGTATTTGGATCCGGATGACAACTTGGACCAAATACACTTGTACAGGTAGGTACACTTGGCCAAGTAGGTTTCGACGACTGTGTGCTTGGATAGTGAGGATGTCGGATTTGGTGCTATTACAAGAGGTGGGACTAGTTGCAGATAATATGCTTATAAAGGAACTTGAATTGCATAAAGAACTGTGTGAAAAGAGGAGAAAGAAGCTTTGGACCTTGGACCCGAATGTGGATTCTTTACCTACAACACCACCAAAATATATAGATAGGTAACATATTAGAACCCATAGCCACTATGTGTGAAGTATCAAGCAGGCCGCTACTCTTGCCTGTTTCGGGACGACAACTAGGAACATTTTGGAAAGAAGGGACTGATTTTAATTTTTGTTACTACATTTCTCGTATCATTTTAAATACGAGATGGTTGTATGAGAAGCTCTGCCAAATACCGCAACCGCATACCTCCACCTCACTGTACCGCCCACCAACCTCGAGAATAAAAAAGTTTGTTTTGGTTTTGTGGTTATGTCATGTATATTTTGTACTTTTTATAAAATTTCAAACAGAAGTTCTTCAAAATGAGTATTTTATTTGAAAACCATTCAGGAACTTTACTTTCCGTTGAAGCCTACTTAAACTCATTCCTAAATAGGAATAAATCCATTAGAATTAATGGCAATTTATTTAAAATATATTCCCCTTACAAAAACTTGAGTGCTGTTAAGAAGAAAAAGAAAACCAAAAGTTTAAATGGGGAACCAGAGAATATAGACCTAAGATATCAAGAATTCGAAAAAGAAATTTTAGAGATACAAAATACATATTCACAGTTATTGCTTGAGTTGAGAAATCAACAACTTTTAACAGAACCATTGGAGCATCATACAAAAAATAAAATTGCCCTCGACACAGCAGATTCTGTATACAATGAGTCTGGTAGATATTTAATTGACGATGTAGTGGGGTCTAATATTGGCCCTCTTGTTATTAAGACACTCCAACATTCAAAATTTATAATTCCTGAAAATTGCAAATTTCTCTCTAAAAATGTTAACGAAATAGACAAATATTTATCCAAAGAACAATTTGATTTGATATTATTAGACCCTCCTTGGTGGAACAAATATATTAGAAGGAAAAAGAAAAAGTCTCCTCATGATGCTTACAAAATGATGTACAATTGTGACTTGAAGGAAATTCCTGTAGATAAATTATTAAGTAACAATGGCATTGTAGTTGTATGGTGCACTAATTCATTCCAACATCTAAATACCTTATTGGAAGATATTTTTCCAAAATGGAAAGTGAGCTTTGTCGCTAAATGGTATTGGTTGAAAATTACCGTGCATGGGGAACCAATTTGTGAATTTTCTAAGCCACCAGGTAGGTAAATATCAAAATATCTTTGTCTTGGAATTTAGGTCCAAATTAAATGTTGCTATTGTTTTAGGTAAACAACCATTTGAACAAATAATAATAGGATGCAGAGACCTGAAAGCAAATAATTTACCCAGAAACGGTAAAATACTCTTAAGCGTTCCCAGTGCAATTCATTCACACAAACCTCCATTGGATCAAGTTCTGAAAGCGTTTTTACCTGAAAACCCCAGATGTTTGGAGATATTTGCTAGGTACCTTCTACCAAACTGGACTAGTTATGGCAATGAAGTTTTACGATTACAGCATGAATCTATGTATATATTCAATGAATGAGATTCATGATCTTTTAATTGTATAATAAAAAATGCAGTTTTCATTATTCACTTACCTATTTGAATATTGTGAAAACAAATACAAACCTATTTACTTAGTTTCTTGGAAAAGAGGATGGTCTATTATTGATTCCTCTACTAATAGACGAGAATGAGTCCTATTCCAGTTAAACTGAAGTGCTATTAATATGTAACATGGAAGTTGTCCATATCATGACAACTTTACTTAAAACGCACACCAATAATGGAGAGACGAGAATAAAATAAAATATTGCAAAAAAAATTGTTGACACCATAATAGGCCAAGCTTTCTTCGAATATTTATTGCAAACCTAATGAGGAAAATTTTCTGCTGGACGCCAAAATGTGCTCATTGGAAACACAGCTCCCGATCAATTAATACCAATTGTAATACCCCACAAATTTACGACCTGGGCTATTTTAATCTGTGCTAGATCGTTCACCAACTAGGTAGTTCCAAGGTATGAGGGACAGCATGAAGGTGAATGGGGTTTATCGTAAACACCATGCTCAAATTAGGGAACGCTGATTTAAATCACCTTCATCAGTACACTTGGACACAATTTGTTATCGACTACATACACCCCAAACGTACAATTGCTTATCAGCCACAAAAGTACCCACTTGATATAGTGCAAAAAATCATTGATTTTCCTGTCCACTCTGTAACATCTCTTAAGCATAGGAAAAAGGATAAGTGGGAAAGGGGAAATACATCAAAAAGACCAGCATTACTGTTGGCAATGTTCAAGGTGTTTCGAAAAGCCATATGCACTGGAATAATTGACTGTGAGAAGGATAACCATTTTTAGTATCGAGTCTTCAGTCAAAGACAAGGTTGCAGGTCTTTACTTTGACCTTCCAAAAGCCTCCAACATGGTCAATCAAAAATAATTGTCGCTGGAGGGCTATAGCTTTTTATTCTCTGCTCTTTCTGTCATATATGCCAAAAGTTCCAATCTGTGCTTTCTGACAGTATGCTGACAACGCGTCGAATACTGCTGCATTTGACTTGTGCAATACAATTTTGTGTTGAATGAGTAAAAATAATTAGTAAGATGTAAGATGTATATTTTCTGACACATAATCCAGTTCTTTTCCTTCTTTATTCAAAAAGATGTGCAAAACAAAAAGTTCCTTAAATATTTACAATTTTCACCATTATTAATTTAAAAAAAAATACAAAATTTTAATTTGAATCTCCAAACATTCAACTGAAATTAGAATTGGTGCATTGAACTTCGTTAATTCCTGAGTTTCCTAGCGCTCTCATTCTCTATGCATTAGCACATACAAACCTAGACATGCTAGAACTGCATACTAAAAGAAAAATCAATTTTATTAGTTTATTTTTATTTAGTCCACTTGAAAAAGACAGAGAGTAATAAATCATTTTTGGAGGCACCTCTCGTAGGCGTGCAGATAATATTCATTCGAAAATAATATTAGATTTTACTTCAATTTTATAGAATGAAACAATCCATAACCACATAATTTTAATATAACACCAGCTAAAAGTATAGACCCAGAAATAAATAGGGGCTTATAGTACATGCTAAATAATTAAGGACCTGTACAGGTTTTGCATATTTGATAATTAAAATTTATTACTCTCTCTCTTTTTTTCAAATGGGCTTTAAATTATTGGAGGATGTTCTCATTACGCTGGCAAAAAATGTAGATCCTGTTTTGATACAGGACTTATCCCTCGCCTCACTTCACACAAGAACAACATTAAATTATTATTACCTTAAACTTAGGATATTCATTCATTAAAATTGTAACCATTCCAACATAAGGAAGAAATCCTCTAGCTCTACCCACAATATCTTTTTTGGTAAGCCATAATTGTCCTGGGGCATAAAGACCTCTGTCGTCTACACTATTATTATCCCCTTTGGTTAGGAATTTGACTGTGCTGTTGTCCCTATATGTTCAACAAATGTATTAGTTAAATTAAAAATAGTCAAATTATTGAGTTTTGCGTACTTTTCATGAAGTTTCAGCACTCGATGTACTATAGGAATGTCTCTGCCTTCAACTTTGAATACAACAATCTCTCCTACTCTAACTGGTTCTTCGGGGTAGTTTGTGAGAAAGAGTAAATCGCCTCTATGGAATGCTGGTTCCATACTTCCTAAATAATTGGAAAAAAATACAATTCATGAAAATCAATTTTTTTGCTAAGAATAATTGTTACCTGAAAGTACCACTACAATGGGACTTTCACTGCCAGTTACTACCATCAGCCCTTTCCAGATCATCAAAGCGGAGGATACTATCATGCCAAAGCTCAAGACTTGGTAGAAAAACTGTAATGAAATAAATTTATTTGGTAAGTTCAATTCAATACTATTGCTTGATGATTTTGGAAAAATAAAAATTTATTATACAGGGTGTCCCACAATATTTTTCCCAGGTTATAACTTCGGAACGCGTCATCTAATATAATTGAAATTTTGAGGATCTGGGTAACTTTTTGTGCCGCTTTTACCGTTGTTATCCAATTTCACCACTTTCGCCTCAATTTCGGTCAAGTGACGTCAACTTTCGAATCTTAAATGTAACTCATGGTATATTATGGCGAATTATTCCCTAATCAATAATACTTTGTGGGAAACGAGGTTTATCCGTTTAAAAATAATAGATATTTATTTTATTAGGAGTATAAGTAATATTTATGTGACGCGCATGGAAGTTTGAATGCCGAGCGCAGCGAGGCGAATCAAATCCATGCAAGTCACATGAAGAATACTTATACTCCGAATGAAATACAATATTTTATTTTCAATCTTTATTCTGAATGGTGCAGAATTTTTAATTTAAATTATGACATTCATATTTAGAATTATCGCCTATACCTGTATGTACAGTTGAACTACCTCAAATTGCTATAGAAAAACATGTGTAACGGCGTATAAATGTTATACTCCGGCGGAGTATAACACTTCGGAGTATAACACTTATACGCCGCTCAAGCTAAAAGTCATTGAAGTGATTCCTATACCTTCTCAAAATTATCACAAAAATTACTGTTGTAACACGTTTGAAATTAAAATATTGTAAAGTATGTTTTTTTTTTAAAGAGAATTTCATACATCTGTCAAAACTGGTATTCCAACAATAAACTGACAAGTTTTGATTGTTGATTTGAACTAATCAGATTGGAATTACGCGATAATTTGCACTAGTGCAAATTATCAGATAATTGCATAGTAACTGGGGCGAAAACTGGTGTTTTGACATTTTTTGACAAAAAATTTAAATTTTTTATTTATGAAATTCTCTCATTAAATACAACTCGTGCAATGGAAATATAAAATCTGTTTTTTTTTTTAAGATAAAAGTCAAAATGACATTGTTGGCAATACAATGTGAAATTGTCAATGCTTTTAAATTTTTTATGTACAAAAGGCTTGTGTTGCCAACATAGTTACTAAATTTTTGACTTAAGGAATTATCTTTAAAAAAAAACAGACTTTAAGTATTACTTATAATGTTATGCTCCTAATAAAAATATCTATTATTTTCAAACTTCAAATAACTGTATGATTGCATACATTTTCCGACAGCCGTAAAGGACGATCAAGTTTGTTCGCATTGGTTTCTACTCCAGGCACAATATGCAATTTGTTTTTTTGCAACGGCTCGAACAGACTGCTTGTTTAATCAGGATTTTCCGGCGTGGGATGTTTTATTGGAGTGTGGAAATTATTTCGGTAACCTCTTTTGCAGCCTCGGAGGGATTTTTGGATTGAAAGCAAACATCTGACTATGGAAAGGTGGAGAAAAATAATTTTTTCTACAAACGTGTTAAAAATGCAATTTTTAACACTCCCCCGTAGCATCAAAAATGTTACTTTATCGCACTAGTGCCATAAAGTCTTTATAGCACTAGTGTTAAAAATAAAACATCAAATTTTGAGAGCGAACGTCAAAAAAAGTTTTTATTTTTACTTAGTTATTTACATTAATATTAAGGTGAAATTTGAACAACTGAGGTAGCCCGATTGGCCGCCTCATCTATATTTTTCAAGGGATCGATGCAACCCTCTTTTTTTTCTGTATTTTATTGTATTTTTAGCAAAAAACATTACTGACCACGACAGACTTTCAAGGAACTGACAAGACATTTCATTACCTGTAAAACAAGGTGCTGGTTGTTTGGATTTTTTGACAAATGTCAAATTCAATAATGTTATGTAGGAAAGATGCTTCCAATTTATTATTCATTTAAAAATCCAATTTTTTACTGGGCATTGCTTTTTATTGCCGTTTGTAGAAAAAATATTGTATGATATTTGTGTTAAAAGTATTTTTAAGGTACTTATGTGAATTGCAGAATTCGCTGCGCTCATTCCGCAAACTTTTACATGCGTACCTTAAAAATGTACTTTTAATACTTATATCATAAATAACTATTATGCGAGGTTTTATGCTTTCCCAGCCTGCCGCTCCATGATGCCACATTTTCATAGAATTTTTACCTTGATAAAGCTCTATGTTGCTTTTGACAGACCTTACTTAGAGCATGCATGTATTATCTGGTTATCTACTGCTGACTGCAATAGAGACTTTTGATAGAAAGAGTCCAAAAGAAATTTTTGAGATATTTAAGTATATTTCAAACACCTAGTGTCATATTATGGAAGTATGTTGGAGACCTTTAAACTTCAACATCTTAGTAAGAGAAGGGCAGTTCCGAGGGCAGTTCAATCCTTACTGTTTATTTTCCATATTGTCAATAATACTAAATATGAGGACTGTAAATTTATTCATCTGATCAAATTTCATGTTAAAATTAATCTGAGATTAAGGAGTTACAGCATTTTTGTGATAAACCGGTCAAGTTGCTTATTGCTAAGCCATACCCTGTTAGTGGGTAGCGGTATCTTAAAAAAAATGTAACAGATATTTCTAACTCAATCAAAAAATTGACTAGAGGATGATAGAAATGTTTGTGCGCAATTATTGTTCTGTGAGGATGTATGATACTTGGGAAAAAATAAACTGTAGAATAAAATATTCTTATTCAAAGAAAAGTTTTTCGTTTACTGCAAAAAACGATACCAAACCGATTATATTATGCAAAAACCAAAATAGCCAGAATGGGGCAGTCTAATTCTAGTTTACCACAGACACTACACCTTTTCCATATGTATTTCAGAGACCATCAGTTTAATTTCAGAAAACGTCAATTACAATTTAGATTAGTAAATTGTATTTCGGAAAGCGTCAATTGTATTTCCGATTATTTAATTTTATTTCGGAAAAAGTCAATTGTATTTCAGACTGGTATATTTTATTTCAGAAACCTTCAAACGTATTTCAGATCAGTTAATTTTATTTCGGAAAGTGTCAATTGTATTTTAGATTTGTTGATTGTATTTCAGAAAGCGTGAATTACATTTTAGAATTTGTCAGATGTAGTTCAGAAATTATCAGTTCTATTTCAGATAATAATAATATAAGAACAGATTTCCCCAAATCAACACAAGCAAGGTGTATAGGTGAACCATTATAAATTTCATTTGCAATCACAAAATAAGATTCTACATTTTATTTCGACTAGAGGGAAAAATATAAATTATGATTTAATTAGGGAGAACCTAAAATTGGTTGATTGGCACTAATATAAATAATATAGATGACAAGTGTAAGTTCTTCGTGTCAACAGTTTATCGGGCCTTGAATACTATAGCACCATTAAAACAGGTTAAAATTTTACCACGATATAAACCATGGTGGAATGAAAATGTCAAAAAAGCAACAGAACTAAGGGATAAAAGTTATAAGATTTACAAATTGCTCAAGAATGAAGATGCACATAGATCGTATAGAGATAAGCGAAATCAAGTAGTTAAAACTATCAAAGAAGAGAAAATAAAGTACTATGAGCAAAAAGTGGATGGATGTAAACGGGATCCTGGGGCAATGTGGAATGTATTGGGAGAAATTTTACCAAAGAAAAATCATGCAAACATTGATAAAATAGAGATGGAAGGAGAAATAATAATGGATAAAAACAGTCTGCCCGAAAGACTAAACAGAGTTTATGTAGACAGCATAGATTCCATAATTGAACAAATTAAACCTGATTCAGGGAATACGGATACCTTAAGTGACTTCACAAAAAATAATGCAGACTTTAGCTCATTCAGATTAATAGATTCTGATTCCCTGTTTAAAATTGTTATGTCATTGAAAAACAAAAATAGTCCCGATGACTTGAATGTAATACTGATAAGGAATATATATCCGTCTCTTGAAGCACCCCTGATTAATTTAATAAATAGTTCACTGGAACAAGGAAAGTTTCCAGATCCTCTAAAGCTCGCTACAATAATACCAGTTCAAAAAAAACCTAACTCAATAAAAGCATCTAATTTTCGTCCCATTAATACACTTCCGGTCATCGAGAAAATAATTGAAAAAGTTGTATATGATCACCTTCTCGAATTTTTAAGCACACATAATACTATAACAGAGAAGCAGTCAGGCTTCAGAAATGGTCACAGCTGTGAAACTGCAATACAGTACATTCTGGATGAATTTAAAATAAAATATGAACAAGGTTTCAATGTACAAGCGGTTTTTCTGGACTTACAGAGAGTCTTTGAGACGGTCGATCGGCACAGATTACTTAAGAAACTGGAAAAAATTGGAATTGGAGATGTGATGTTGAGATGGTTTGGAGACTATCTAACATCAAGAAGACAATTAACTATTGTTTGCCCGGAGGATCTGAGTCTACGGCAGGAATTCGGATGTAAATGCGCCATATTGCCACGTTTAATTATAAAAAAGCGAAAATACTAGACATGAAGTATAGTTCATTTGAAAATCCATTTTTTAATAACAAAATATTGACAACAATAATAAAACGCTAAATATTTAACGTGGTTGTTAGATCTATTCTTATTTGTCCTGATTTCTTCAATTTGATCTATTGGAAAAAATAAACATTTTCTAAATATACCATCAGCTTTTGACAATTTGGCAAGCATCCGGCCTGGATGAACCTGATTGGTGGAGTTTTTGGCAGGATTGCCGTTGCCATGGGGAACCATACGGTTGTCAATGAGCTAACGTCACCTTATGTCTCGCTATTGGCCAGGCCTGACGTCATTTTATCCTCCCATCTTGGAATATCAATTTATATTGAAATATCCAGTGGCGGAGGTTTGGTCATTGTCAATTTTTGTGTACGAGTTGCAATACGATAACACTTTCAAAAAGTTCCGCACGCAGCTGGGTATTTTATGAATGAAATCAGCCATTTTTTTTACAACTGCATTCCCCTCACCGTTGCCCCGTAGACACAGAGTCGCTGGGCAGATATTAGACCGAATGCAATTAGTTCAATAGAGATAGTTGTTAACGAGCATGGTGTACCGCAGGTAGAGATTGAAGTTTACCGGTAATTTTCATTTGTTCTTTCTCGGTGGTAATTTACCGGTAATTTTGCGGTTATTTTGGTAATTTTGGAAATATTTCATGATTCGTGAAAGAAACAATTATGACTATATACTATACCTATACGTTCAAGGATTATATATTTTCAAGATTTTTTCACCTAAATACCCATTTATTATAGTATTGTTTGTTGTAAAACATAACCTCATACATAGAAATATTACAATATTTAAACAAATAAACGAAAAACGAGCAAAGAAAATCAGACAAAAATAAAATAGAGATAAATTCGCCTAATCTGGTGCTAAACTAAATACTTAGTAAAGTAAATACCTACTTTTGAAGGGCAAAAAGAAAACAAATAAATAAAATGAGCTGAATAAGGATAGCATAAGAGATTTTTTTAGAGGTTTTTGAAAATTTCTATTGTTTTTTTTGGGTTTTTGCGAGAGTTGTGCTACTGTAGGGTTTTTGTGTTCCAAGATCTTTGACATTCCAAGTAATAATCTCTAACTCAGAACTCAACAAAAACCCACCGGGTTTTTGAAATAGGTTTTTCCTATGAGCACAATGTTTTAATTCAAAATATAGGTACTATGTATGTACTTATTTTTTACTTCAAATCAAATTATTATCTATAGGTACTATTTTCCATTATTAGATGAACAAAAATACTTGTGGAAAAATATTACACTTAACTTCTGCGGAAAATGTCTTTTCCACCCTTGACAGCTTGCCAACTGCCGTCGCGTAGGGAAAAGCACCACTCTCCGCACTTGTTAGGTAAATAACTATTCGTTTATGCCAACCCTGAAAGCGCGTTACAAATTCACAACAAGATGGCGAATAATGCATGAAAAGGATTGTCGCCTGAATGTGATTTCATTCAGGAAGCATTTCTGAAAATTACCGGTAAAGAAATTTGTCGGGTTAAATTACCAAAATTACCTTACCAAAATTACTGTTACCGCGGTAACGTTACCACACTTTAATCTCTAACCGCAGGGAAGTGTTTTGGGTCCACTATTGTTCATTATTTATATAAACGATCTGCCAGATGTAATACATGACATTGAATTGGATAACTTCGCCGATGATAGTCTATTCTACGCCTTTTCTAAAGATTTGGATTTGTTGGTGGAAACTGTTAATAATGCCCTAAATAAAATTGTCAATTATACATCAACGAATCTTTTGAAGATTAATGTTAGTAAAACTAAATTTATGTTTATTGGTACACATAATAACAGAAGTCTTTTTAATGTGAATAACTATTCAATTAAAATGGGTTAACAATAAGTTGGAAGAAGGTCAAAAGATTAAGTATCTTGGGGTAATTCTTGATAAAAAATTAAAATTTAAAGATCACTGCAACATTCTGGTTTCTAAAATTAGTTATAAGACAAATTATCTTAGGCGCTGTTTTTACCACTATAGTTTTGCCACACTTCAATTATTGCGCAACAATACTTTATTTTGACTGTAATACTTTATTTACTTAACCAGAATGATATCCAAAGACTGCAAAAGTTGCAAAATAGATGTATGAGAATCATACTCTCATGTAACAAATATACTCCTATAAAAAGTTATTTTAGATTGCTTCAGTGGCTTCCAGTTGTGGAATATGCGAAATATAATGTAGTTGTGTTTATTTTTAAAATCAAAATTGGACTCGCTCCATTGTATCTCACAAGAAAAATAGTTTACAGTGGCCAGATGCATGATCACAACACTAGACAACAGAAGAACTTCTTTCTATATACCACATAGATGTGGGGCATCAGCAACAAGATCGGTATTCTTTAAGGGTATGAATGAGTTTAATCAGCTACCGGATGAAATAAAGTCATGTGTTACTATTAGCTATTACTATTATTACAAAAGAAAATTAAAAGTTCATCTGCTGACTCAATGTGATATATATGTTCCAGATTAAAGCACAAATGAGTTGCTTATTCTTGTTGATCTGAGTTTTGTTGATTTGAATTTCTTTTGTTTTTCGGTCTCTTGATCTTGTATTTTGTGAAGTGAAAAACGAATGCCATATTTTGTATGAGTTTCATGTACTTGCTTTTCGTAGTTTTCAATTGTTCGTTGTTTTTTTTTAATTGTTTACTGTAATTGACACTATACACTAATTATAACTTTTGTGAATTTATATATGTAAGTTGCACGATTAGCTATTGCTGAATAAACGAAATAAATAAAAATTTGATTCAATTACATTGATAACATCTGAAGTACATTTAACGAATTCTGAAATACAATTTACCATGAGATTTACAATTTCTGATTTACAAATAAATAATCTGAAATACAAATGACGTTTTCTGAAATACAAGTGACCAGAGTGAAATACAAATGACTTTTTCTACAAACGTCACTTAAAGTGTCATTTTTAACGGATGCTGTCAGTGTCTAAAATGACATTTTATGACACTGGTGTTAAAAGTGCGCTTTTAGTGCATTTGTAGAAAAAATAGTGTATGATATTCGTGCTAAAAGTGATTTTATTTAAGTAAATAAAATGTCACTTTTAGCACTTATATCATAAATAACGATTTCCTGAAATACAACTGACCAACCTGAAACACAAATGACGTTTTCTGAACTAAAATCTGTTGTTTTTTTTAAGATAAAAGTCAAAATGACGTTATGTTGGCAATACAATGTAAAATTGTCAATGCTTTCAAATTTTTTATGTAAAAAAAGCGAGAGAAAAGGTTTGTGTTGCCAACATAGTTACTAAATTTTTGACTTGGGGAATTATCTTTAAAAAAAAAACAGATTTTACAACTGACAAAGTTGAAATATAAATAACACTTTCTGAAATTAAACTCACACAACTAGAATACAATTGAAATATTCTGAACTAGAATTGATGAATCTGAAGTAAAAGTGATACATTCTGAAATACTTATGGAAAAGGTGTAGACATAGTTTGGGATATTCTATAAAAAGGACTTTACTTCAGATGCTTGAAAGTACCATCGTTTGTCGGCTTGTCTCTACCTGGTGAATGAGGAGTTTGAGTTTATTTTAGTCAGTAGAGCTAATATTGCTGAGGTGATGTGTAGACATATGTTTTTACCAAAATAATATGCATTATATTTGAAGTGAACAAAAAGATAAAAACAAGTAACAAGTTTATCCAGAAAAATGACTGGGAAATAATCGAGGAAATAATATAATACATTGATTTAAAAGGAATTTTACCTGACGCTTATTCATTCGCTTAACATCATCGAAAACCGTGGCGATATCCATTTTTGATTCAAATTTCCTATTTTATTTCAAAAATCCAAAGTATGTTGAAAATCAGGTAAACGCACAAATCCACGTCAATCCTCAGTTGTTGATGTTGGAAATTGAGCTAATTATGTGAGGTTATGGTGTTTGTTTTTCTTCTTATCTTCCCCTGTTTTAAACTGGCCTTAGACCAGGGCGCTGGCAACGTTGCCATTCAACCATTTTTATCAACTGTAATTTGATTTTTTAACAAAATAATAAAAATAGGTAAAAGGAGGATAAGGTCTGAGGATAAATACTACTCTAGTCTATTCTTATCAAAAAACATCCTCATTCTATTTTATGTGTGATAATCCTTTTAAAGGATTTTATTTAATGAACAATGGTTGTTACAGTAGCAGAATTAAACAAAATTTTACGAACAGCTAAAAACTTTGAACGTGCTCTTAGTAAGGTAAAATGTTCAATCTATTCCTAAAGTTAATAGGTTGTCTGGTAATGGATAACTTGATGACGCATCTTATGGAGATTTGCATTATGTTGAGGCACCCCGGGATGATATGATGAAGTTTTATCAGGCAACCTACCTCTCTGAAACAACCTGGCATTTTACCCTCTATCTAATCTCTAACATCGTATACCTACTTACCTTCTCAGTATAGAGAACTAGAAATTGATAGATAGCACCTGTAACTTTCTTAATTTTGATCTGACATAAAAAAGTTACTGGTGGTGGTACTTTATAAGTTGACACTCGGTACAGTGCCTACCCTTCTCAATTATCATTAAAAAGGCTTCGACCTTGTAATTTCTTCTATTCCACAGGTCCATGTAACTTCCTTAGGTGACGGCAAATGCACTGCAGAATTAAAAATCGAAGAAGAACACACAAACGTGATGGGTGGTTTGCACGGTGGATTATCAGCCACTTTAGTTGATAGCATTTCTACTTATGCCTTGGTCAGTCATAGGCATGGTGTATGTCCAAATGTATCTGTTCATATAAATACAGAGTAAGATTCTAAAACGATCAATCCTAAATGTATGCACATTTTGCTGTATAATAAATTTATGTAGATGTTTTATTGTAGATATATCAAAGGAGCCAAGTTAGGAGATGAAATTCAAATTGAAGCTAATACTGTTAAAGTTGGGAGGACATTATCATTTTTAGAAGTTTTTATTAAAGATAAAAAAACAGGAGCACTTTTGGTTAAAGGATCACACACCAAATATATGATGTGGCCAAAGGATGAAAAATAAACAAGAGTTTTTGTGATTTCTGTAGAAAAACAATTTGTTAAAAGTTATTTATGATTTTTTTTTTGTAGTTTTACATTGTTTTAAATTTTAAGCAATTCTAATTTATTTGAGATTAAAAATAATTGAAGAATTCTTATTAACATTTTAATGCACTCAAACTGTCTACTCCTTTTTCATATCTGTTTTCGTCTCGACTTTAGAACTGCTCTCTTCAGCTTCTGGTTGCTTTCTTTTTGACAACATTCCAGGTCTATACAGAGGTATTGTTGGCCGATCCTTATTCCTTATCCTTCTAGAATTGGACGAACTTGCCTCGTTTTTATCCAAATAATCCTTCTCTTTTTGCTTGTCGTCAAAATTAAATTCCTTTTCAGATGATGAGGTTACTCTCTTGGATGAACTTGCTTCATTTGTTTCAGCATATTGCTTTTCTTCCTTCGTGTCATCAATATCTAATTCCTTCTCAGATGATGTTGAAGCTTGTTTGACAGTTTCTTCAGAAGCACTTTTCAGCTTGTCAGTAAATTTGGATTTTTCATTTGAATCAGCTTTTTTTTCAACTTCTATGGGTGTTGAATTTGTTGCTTTTGCCTCCTCTTCAATTTTCTTTAGTACTGCTTTTTGGGCTTCAATTTTTCTTTCTTCGCGCATCTCACTGTACTTTTTAATTTTTTTAGGATATGTTTTAGTTGGGGTTTTAGTGTCTTCTTTTTTATATTCATCATAATGTTTTGGTCTAAAGTCTCTGTGGGAATAATCATCTCGTTTATTATATTCTCTACTGACTTCTGTATATTCTTTCTTGGGAAATCTTGGTTTGATTTCCTTCCTTTCCTTTTTCTCTTCTGGTTTTTTATCTTTAGATTTATTCTCAGGAGGTTGCTTGTCATCCTTTTTTTCTCTTGGACTTTTGTTCAATTTTTCCTCAGATGGTTCACTTTTAATTTGTTCCCTGGGCGATTCATTCTTAGGCAACTTAATAGGTTTTTTACCATATAATTTAGTAGGTGATTTATCTTCATAATGATTCTCATCGTAATATTTGCCATATTTCTTATTTTCATATTCTTTTTTGCGTTTTTCACGCTCTTCTCGTCTGACTTCCCTTATCTTCTGTTTTTGAGCTCTTTTATTTTTGATGAATTCCAGAAGTGGTGTAGTTATGTCCTTATTCTTGTCATCTCCTCTTTCATTTAATTGTAACGTATATTCAGGCTTTGCTTCTTGTTCCACAGGCTTATTTAGACTGGCAACAAATTCCAAATAATATGTATCCTCTTCAATGCTATTACATTTTGGATCCATACGTAGTTTTCCACGTTTTTTGGGGATTTTTTGAAAGGCAGCAAACTCCACTACAGCCGTGTATTCGTGGCCCTTATTGTCAACAAACACATAATTGTCAAACTTTTCATTAAAACCATAAACATCTTCAGGGCACACAAAATTGATGTAGACTCTGGAGAAAGCATTTTCTCCCAAACTCATATCACCCTTTACATGGTATATGTAATTGTAATCGGGAACTGGGGACGCTTGCTCTAAAAATTGCACTAGGGTCATCGTTGGCGGTAATCTTCGAATGATCACTTTGGTGAACGGTTTTTCTTTTTTGTCTGGACGTTTATTTGCATCTGTTAAGGTCATTATAATAGATTGGGAACGATCGGTCATACAAAATTCCTCTTTATGTTGATATGTTCTACTTTACTTGGTTTACAAAATTCATCATAAATCAATTCTTGTTACAACTTGGTCTGGTCAATAAAATAAATAGAAATAATATTACAAATGACATATACATGAATGAAATTGAAAAGTCGGGGGGAGGAGCTTGTCATGCAGTGCAAATTCATTGGTGCAAACAGCTGGGGCGAGTTCAGAAATACCACACCGGAGCCGCTTTCCAGTGCCTATATTGTTAGAGTATCATGCTCCTGAAGTGTGACGCTCTTGAACTGTTCGACATAAGCAGCACTGGAACGCTCTCGTTTTAACCCCCATCATTTCGGATTTCAGGAGCATGAAACACAGACGAAAGGGTTGGTGCACGAGGGGGCAGGGGATAACAGAAATGAGTAGCTCAAGTGTACGACACTCTAAGCACTGGAACGCGCAAAGCAATTGTGGAGCACTCCTGAGCTGCTCAGGAGTAACTCAAATGGGTCACTGGAAAGCACCTCGGGTGTGAGTGCAGTTTCATGGGTGTGACGGAAATGACAATTCTTAGTCGACAACTTTCGTATGAATTTCTGAACGCTTGGTGTGACCAATCGAGCATCTCCTCAAAAATTTCACAAAATATATTAGGATTACTTTTTTTTGTTGTTCATTTTTTTAATTTGAAGGAAAAACTTTAATTCTTATTTGTATTTTGTTTATATTTGGTGGGATTATTGAGTCTTGAGATTATGGGAGGAATGGTTGACATTGTTGACATAAAGACACAATCACACCGCAGCCACACCAAAAAATTATGGTGTGACCGGTGCGACACCTGGAGCGCGCCCAAAGTAGTTTCTGAACGGCACAGAGTGCGCGCACTCGGTGTGCCTATAGCATTTATGAACGGCTAGTGCGTCGCACCGGTGTCACACTCACACTGAGTGTGTCATTCCTGAACTCGCCCCTGACGATTTACGTCGGAAATAGTTAAGGATGATACACACCTCTACTACAGGATGGCCTATCCTCATAAGGCCTGCGTGTAACATTCCCCCGACCTCATCAAAATATCTGGAGTGCGTTTAGAAATGGAGTGTGAAGGTAGAGTAGTTGTTTGTCAGAGTGTTCTGACGTCAACACTTGGAGTGCACTCTGGGTGCGCTATTTCTGAACGTATTGGGGCGTTGCGGTAAATTGTCAACGTGAAACCCAGTAAAAAACGCGGGGCGTTTCTCAACCCAGTCCCCGAGTGGGTTAATTTGGGCGCACTTTGGGAACGTTTTCTGAACGATTCCAGCGTAACGCTCCGAGTAAGCACCTGTTAATTTATGAACGGTTTAGAGTTACTCTAGGGTCACTCTCACACCCAGAGTGCTATTTCTAAACGCAACCTAGTTGTGACGTAGCAGCATGTTATTTCTCGCCTTATGAGGATAGGCCATCCTGTAGTAGTAGTGTGTCGTACACACGTAGGCTGTTTACAGCACAGCTGACGACTTAGTTATGACGTCGGCAATGGTGGCACACCAATATGGCAGCGATTACCAAAAACGAGGCCGATAAGCACTCCTAAGAGTGTGTATTCTCCTTGGGAAATAGTGACACACCAATATGGCGATGATTACCAAAAACGAGGCCGATAGGCCCTTAGTAGTGTATCATCCTTGCAAACAGCCTACGTCGAGGCGAGAAAGAATATGCTAGGGCGAGTTCAGAAATAACACACCGGGTGTGAGTGCGATTTTATGGGTGTGACTTAAAATGACAATTCTTAGGCGACAACTTTCGTATGAATTTCTGAACGCTTGGTGTGACCAATCGAGCATCTCCTCAAAAATTTCACCAAATCTATTAGGATTACTTTTTTTTGTTGTTCATTTTTTTAATTTGAAGGAAAAACTTTAATTCTTATTTGTGTTTTGTTTATATTTGGTGGGATTATTGAGATTATGGGAGGAATGGTTGACATTGTTGACATAAAGACACAATCACACCGCAGCCACACCAGAAAAAATTATGGTGTGACCGGTGCGACACCTGGAGCGCGCCCAAAGTAATTTCTGAACGGCACAGAGTGCGCGCACTCGGTGTGCCTATAGCATTTATGGACGGCTAGTGCGTCGCACCGGTGTCACACTCACACTGGGTGTGTCATTCCTGAACTCGCCCCTGCTAAGTCACACCTGGGTGATTTGGCGTGGTGGGGACCTTCAAATTTCTGCCACACAGGCCTTATGAGGATAAGCTATCCTTCTACCTCCAAAAAATAATTACAGATTTCTCAAAACAGCTACAGATTTCTTTCTATTTCCCTCAATTTACAGATGTTTTCAATTTTCATTTACCTTTGGCTACGTTTGGAACTATCGATATTGTTACAGCTCTATCGATACTGTCGAAAATAAAAAAAATATCGATAGTATCGATATTCCTATCGATAGTTTGTTATCCCTAAACTGCGACTGCGAGCAGTTCGAGCGAGCTGCTACTGTGAGTAGTAGGTGTCTAGATGAGGAGAAATGAGAATCCCAGGATGGGGTGTTTTTTTTAGTGTTTATTTATTATTTTTTTTAATTTCGTTTTCGCGATCCCTTTTTTGAAGGACTCATATGGTGATTTTTTAAATCGAATGTTTGTAATTAATTTGTGGACTTTTAACAGTGAACAAAGTTGCTCAGCTGGTTTTAATGCTTTTAAAAAGGGAGTAATTACTTATTCAGCTGAGAAACCGGATTGCTGTTGATGCTGGTAGGTATTTAAGATTAGAGATTGTATTTTGAGTTTATTATGAGTGTTATGCTAGTTGGTTGCTTGGAATGGTTGGTTAATATGCTGGAGAATTTAATTTATTGGCTTTGTTTCAACAAAACTCATGAACTCAACCATAATCGGCATAATCCATATTTACAAACTAATCATGGCTGATTAATTAAACACGTAATTGAAGGCTCGTTCCTACTCTCAAATCCTTCAAATATACATTAAAGTCTGTTTTTTTTTAAAAGTAATTCCCCAAGTCAAAAATTTAGTAACTATGTTGGCAACACAAGTCTTTTCTACATGAAAAATTTGAAGCATTGACAATTTTACATATTAGACGATTTCGCCACGTTTTGGTTGGTAGGTAAATTGGTTAACCGTTAGGTAGGCTCTTCGTCACAACAGTGACGTCGCATACCATTTTCAGCCGAAATCGGCCGGTTTGTCAAATGTCAGGTGTATGACGTGATGGTGATGGTATCCTGAGAAAATAAAAATAAACAAACTACTGAATACTTTTTATTGTTGGAAATTAAAATTGAAAATAGTGAAAATTGATTGTTTATTTGTTGTGTTTGATTTCAATTATAAACAAAAAAGTGAGGTTAACCTACTCCAAATTAGAGAGAGATAGCAAGCTACCAATTCAAATAATAACCGTGCTCCAAGCTCGGTACCCAATTTGACATACCAGAATATATACCAAAGTTATCGTGACGTCATTGTTTTTCCTGCCGAAATTGGTTGGTACATTTTTGACCAACCAAAGTGGGTTACCAAAACGTGGCGAAATCGTCTATTGTATTGCCAACATAAGTAATGACATTTTGACTTTTATCTTAAAAAAACCAGACTTTAGCAAGTATATTAGCGACTCTCATAGTATGTAAAGTGCGTTTTTTTTTAAAGATAATTCCCCAAGTCAAAAATTTAGTAACTATGTTGGCAACACAAGCCTTTTCTACACAAAAACTTTGAAAACATTGATAATTTTACATTGTATTGCCAACATAATGTCATTTTGACTTTTATCTTTAAAAATAAACAGAATTTATTGGGATTTCAAATTAAGATTGTAGCGCCGCGGTGGCGAATAGCTCAACTACTTTCTAGTACATCAATGAACTATCTTGAATATTTGTCTTGCGTTTATGGGCTCTATGGCTCCTAAGGCAGGCCAAAATTCAATATAATCTATTGCGGTGCAATAAATAAATAAATATTTCATAAATAACTCTTTATTTTTATTTATAAATAGGTAAATATTGAATTAACAAAGTCAAATAACTTGACCACAAACCTGCCTATAATACTGGTAATTAGAATCTAATAAAAACCGAGATAAAAACTTGACACTTTCTGCTGTTTGCTCGTCCATTTGTATGTTTGTCTCAAAAGAGTTTAATAATTGAATACAAGTATCACTACATTCATTACTTGAACCGCTCTCACTAGAATCTTGATTTCTTTTTCTTTTGGCAGGTCTTTCAGCACACATGGAATCTGTTTTTTGGCTGGGTTTATGGATCACTGTTATGTAGAATAGGGCAAATTCTGGGATGGTTCAGTTGTTTTTTTCAATATCCAACCTTTACCTGTACTCCCACCTGTAAATAATAAAAACAGTCGAAATTTTCAAACAAAACATTTCAAAAATAGATAATAGGTCCTCAATCAATACCTAGGAGCAGTCCTAAAAGGAAGCTAGGACACAAAAATATATATTATGTTTGTTTACCTTAACACAAACTTCTTGCTTGAAATGCAGAGAAATACACTTTCATGAATTTGATGACTGGTTTGCTAATACGAAGTTTTAAAATCCAGGCTTTTCTTCTCCATTCTAACCATTTTCCCATCTTCATTTCCAAATAAACCCGTAGGCCTGTTTCAAGGGGAAATATGTGGAAACTCAACCCTTTGTAAGCATCTTTTTTGGCCCAAAACTTGCACTGAGGAACACAACAGTAGTGATTTGAGGTCATGATTGAATGTATCTGATATAATTTACACTTATTTCGAGACTTATTTATTCCCCAACACGCTTTAAAAATTCAAAAACACTTCAAAAATATTCACAAAAACACAATGGCAAACAATACAATAACAAACGACAATGTACTACAAACTAGTTCCATAATTTGCCGCCAGATAGAGTATCGCTTATCTTGAAATCCCAATAGTGATCAATGCTAAATTGTACAACCTAGTGTTTGGGAGGGTTCTAGATCTAGAAGGGATTCTGTCCTAACCAGAAACCTGAGCACAAACCAAAACCAAAACAAAGCAAATGTATTTACTTACTTCAATGGATTTGCCATTTAGGTACAGGGTCTGTTCCTTATAATCAGTGTGGGCGGCCCCTACAACTTAAACAAAAGAAAATAATCAAAATCAAATCAAAATATGCTTTATTGTAAAAAGAGAAAAATATCTTGTCTACAAAGCAGAAAAATACGATAATAATAAGAAAAATACAATAATATAACAATAAACACAATAATAAAATGTCAAAATTTAAATTTACAAACCGCCGTAAGAATAATAACAGTACAATAATAAAATAATAAATACAATATTAAAATGTCAAAAATTAAAATAACAAACAGCCGTAAGAATAGATACAATTATTAAAACTAAAAACAAAAATACTTATCTGTGATCATTTCGTGTCCTTGCAAAGATTTGTTTTAATTTCGTGGGTTAGAGGACAGGACCAAAAAAGAAACTATCAAGCTTGATAGTTTCTTTTTTGGTCCTGTCCTCTAACCCACGAAATTAAAACAAAAATACTTATGAAAACAGGACATTAAAATGAAAGTACTTGACAAAATCAATAGCTGCAAACCTCGCTACAAACAATCATCGTAATACTCCTCCAGGCTGTAATAAGACCTTGCCATCAATACACTCTTCACGCTTTTCCTGAACCGCGAGTATGGCAATTGTCTATATTCGGTGCCCAAATGGTTATATATCTTGAGGCCTTCATATATAATGGATTTTTTTGTGTCATTCTGGGAATAGGGAGTGTTAGGTTTTGGTTTGCATTCAACCTTGTGTTATGCAAACGGACAGGGACCTCAAAACACGATTTTTTGTGAATCAGACACACTGTTTCAAGAATAAATAAAGACACGACTGTCAATATCCCGTGTGTGATAAACAGTGGTCTGCAATGTTCCCTTACTCCCACCCGACACATAAATCGTATTGCTTTTTTCTGCAATACAAATATTGAATTAAACAATTGTTGATTACAAAAGCCCCAAAATGTTATACCGTATCGAAGGTGCGATTCAAAAAGTGAAAAATACACCATCCTTGCCGTCGCGGTACCCAATTTGTTGGAAACGACTCTGATAGCAAAGCAACCAGAGGCCAGCCTAGAGCTCAATGATGAAATGTGTCTATCAAATTTAAGTTTGTTGTCTATGAGAAGGCCCAAGAACTTAGTGACTGGTTCATTTTCGATTTGTTGATCATTTATCTTTAAGTCATGAAAACTAAAACCAAAAGTCAGTATATTAGTTTTAGCGATATTTAAGCTGAGAGAATTAGCATCACACCAACTCTTGATTTTTGGTAGATCCACAGTTATCATGTCCCTGAGATTATCGCCTGTCATAGAAGAGTGGTGTCGTCCGCGAAGAGAGTGAACTTACCCCGAATATTCACCATCGCAAGGTCATTAATATACACCAAGAAAAGAACAGGTCCCAACACCGATCCCTGCGGTACACCATGGTGACATACCAAGGGAGCCGACTCATCATTGCCAACTTTCACCACCTGAACCCTCTCCGAGAGATATGTTTTGAACCATAGATTCGCCTTTCCCCGTATACCACAGCGGTGAAGTTTCCGCAGCAGCACTTCGCGATTTACGCAGTCAAAGGCCTTTGAAAAGTCGCAAAATACTGCTGCAGCCACATCTCCGCCATTCAGACTTGTGTAAAGGGTCTCGAGAAGCGAAAAGATTGCATCACTCGTACTCTTAGATGCTTGAAAACCAAACTGAGATGCTGTTATCACATTAAATGCCGATAGAAAATGAACCAGCCTCGATTTCACTAGCTTCTCAACGACCTTCGAAAGGGTGGCAAGTAGCGATATAGGGCGGAAATTAGATGGATCTTCGCAACTCCCCCCCTTGTGCAACGGAATCACAACCGCCCGTTTCAAGCAGGCTGGAAATTCGCCAGTTTCGAAAGATATGTTAATCGCATTTGCGAGTGAAAGTAAAGCAGATTCTGAAAGATTCTCAAACACCTTAATGGACATTCCATCATATCCAGAAGAATTCCTATTCTTGATCTGCAAAAACACATCCTTTAATTCAATCACATCGACGGGGTGAAAGTAGAAACTGCAGGCAACATTGAACTCCCCAAGATAATCCAAAGGATCTTTACTACTTGTAGTATTGGATGTTGTTCTCTCGCACACAGAACAGAAAAAAGTTAAATACAAAAGTTGTAGGGTTTTATCTCTATTATCTTTCGTACATGTCAAAATGGGCAAATGATAGGTGCAACTGTCATAATGACAGCACTTGTATTTTTTTAAATGGAACATCCTGTATATTTTTGGCTAGGATGATATTTTTTTTTTCTGATTTCAAATATACCATATGTGTTAATATTTGGTTCAGCTGTTTTTGCGCTATTTCATTTTAAAATTGCATTGAGCAAGCCTCATCATTGATACTAGAAACCGGGAACAGACCTAATTTAGGGTAATGTAAATACATTTTTAAACTTGAATAGCGTAAAAACAGCTGAACCAAATATCAACATATATGATATATTTGAAATCAAAAGAAAAAAATCTATCATCCTAGCCAAAAATATACAGGATGTTCCATTTAAAAAAATACAAGTGCTGTCATTATGACAGTTGGCACCTGTCATTTGCCCATTTTGACATGTACGAAAGATAATAGAGATAAAACCCTACAACTTTTGTATTTAACTTTTTTTTTGTAT